TCGGTTGAGACCGAGCCACTCGGTGGGCAGGAAAGGTGATGGGAAAGCCGAGGGATGCATTTATCAAACGGGGCATAGCAGCGTTATCTCAAACTAACTGTGACTCTATCCTCCTGTGTACGTCTGCAGCAAAAATATAAAATGTAGATGCAACTCAAAAAAATCTCTGTACTGATATTTTGTTGATTTTAAGCATTTAAATAGCCGATATTCTTGTAACCAAATTTGCAGATATGAATACAGTCGAGTGTTCAGCTTTAGTTGCTTCTAGTTACACTGTGTTAAATGACCAGATATACAGATGTTTGCTCAGCTGCAGTTGCTGCTCACAGCGTGATCACACAGAGCTCTTTGATTCTTACTTATTTTTTGTACATTTCTTAGCAGGAGGCCACTTATTAACTGGACTGTTTGTGCAGCTGGTGTGATGATCCTCCCGTGTGATGAATGTTTAGCCTGAGAATCTGCACATCACCTGGTTTCTGCTTCTCTAAAAGTACAAAATAAATTCTGAAATAAATAATGTTGAAAAGTACACACTGAATCCCCCTTTTTTAAGTGATTATAACACAGTGGATCGTTACTGTAATGTGAGTAAACAGGCCCAGATTCACATTTTTTGTGTTACCTTTGTACTAAATTCATTGTCATGTTGATGTTTAAAGGAAAGACTGATGTTGTAAGAACACCTGGGGACAGATGGTCTCAGTAAATCTGCTTTAAGGAGTAAAACATAATCTGGAGCCTCAGGTGATGTTTCTTGGCCTGCTCGCAAAGAAAAATCCTTCTTTTGGAACTATGTATTCATGCGCCATAGTTTTCACATTTCTTTTACACAGTTACTTTATGTGACACATTTGTGGTTAATTGGGTGAGTAGTTTTCATAGTCTTCGTGTGCTTTTCTTATCTGGTTCATTTATTGTGTCTATGGACACTACGTTATACACTACGGAGAGTTTACACTGTACAGCACCGTGCTTCAGATGTGCTGTATTAGTAAAATATGGAGATCGAAGGCACCCTGACTTCAATCATTGGGTGAAAATCTTCTCTCAAAAAAGTTTGTGGATTTATTTATTTATTGATGGCTGGATCATGATTCCTCATAACTAAATGAAGTGGTTTCCACATGTAACCGGCTGCTGTTTCCCATTAAATAAAAGCTTAATCAGAAGCTACAAGATGAATTATGTTCCTGTATTAATGAGACCATGTACGTTATTCTCTTGCATTTTTAACAAGGCATCCTGGTTATTCTACAAAGAAACTAGCAAACCGCTGTCATCGGTCAGACTGCACTGATTTGCTGCCCTCAAGTGATGCGTTTTTTTTTAGCAACACAAATTTTGAATTATTACCTTTACCAATAAACTCAGTGATTACTCTGTTTGTGTGTCTTTAAGTACAATTACAACAAAAGCTTATGGATAGCTTTGCGTGAGCAGCAGTGGAAGATGGAGACATTTGCACGTTTCACAAATAATCATCAAAGACAAAAAAATAGAATCATCACCTTGTTACTATGAAGAAAATACAAAGTGATCTACATCCACGTGTCCTTTTGGATCCAGTGATTGCATCGTATAGAGGAAATAATCAGTATTGTGTACAGACTGTTTTTGTTAAAGTGAAAACTGGTTAAAAAAAAAAAGGTTGTTATTAAACATAGCTCATAAAGACACATATGTTTACATTATTTGCATCCTCACACACTGCAGCTTATACTTGACTTCCAGTTAGTTTGTGCCTGACAAAAGTCTGACGCTACAGCTACAGTACATCCTCCGCACACACAGTAGGTTTGAAATTTTGTAACATTGTTACAAACAGATTAAAGTTCAGTGAAACACAGAAGATGAGCTAAATAAGATCCACGGTCAAAGAAGGATTAATAGAAATAATAAGACATGTAAATAGAAAACCTGCAACTTCATCCAGGCTTCAATTTTATTAGTAGCGCGCACATGCATGAACTGTGCAAAGCACTGACTTGTTTGACCCTGCGGCCCAAACCAAACAATGGCGTCCCTTTCCCCTCCACACACACTGTCAGTTTAAGGTCCTCCTCACCTCGAATCACAGATCATCCCCCAGCGTTCCTCTTTAACGTGGTTGATGTGTCATTTGGTGTCAGGTATGCAGTCAATCACAGGAAATGGCACTTTGCTGAGTTTCCTGCTATTGTTTAAATCTTTACCTCGTTGGAAACTCCTGGAACGAACCTCATGAAGATGTGAGATCTGCTTCAAGCCTGAAAACCTTTATGGCTCCTGTTATATCTCATGTATGTGTTATTGTAGGGTCTGCTTTACAATACAACGCCACTTAAGGTGACTGTTGTTGTGATTTGGTGCTGTATAAACAAAGTTAAATTGAATTTTTAAGCTTTTTGGGGCAAGTTAAGTTTTTACATCTAACTACATCTATAGTGTTTTAAACAGTAAAAGGAAAAGAAAGAGTTTATCTTCACTGCAACGATGCAGTGCAGAAGATGACCAAAGCTGATTCTTGATCAATATCCGATTATGGTTTCTGTTCAGTTCTTTGCATCAAAAACAATCAGAAAATAGCTTTAACTTCTTACAGTAGTCAAGGTCACATGACTTGTTTGCTTAGGTTTCTGCACAGATACAAACTGTTTAAGTGCATTTGTGTTGTTTGGATCCCACTGCTGCTCAACTTCCACGCCACGTCTGCACTTCCTGATTTTCTGAATCTAATTTTAGAAATCTTTCAGGTCATCTCAGTTCCCACCTGGCTGATATATGATATGATAATTGTCTCCTCTTGCAGAACAACAGCAATTTTCTGTAACCTGTACATTATTTATAAATAGTTTAACAGCGGTAAAGTATTTATATGATAAAAATGTTTTTTTTTTACTGTACAATCAAAAATACTTCTACTCTTAAAAGTTTTTAAAAAAAACAGAGCTGGAAATAGGCTGAATGCTGTATGTCCTTGTTAACATTTGCTCTCAGATTTACTGCTGTCAGTGGACAGAAGCTTAACTAGTGTGAAAGCGTCTCACCTTGAGCCTTTTTATGCTTTTGACGAGCAGAGGCGCCGTTATCCCCACAAGCTTCTCCTGTTGTTTCAATGACAGCTTTTTGATACCATGAAAAAACAGGGGGAAAAAAGTAAGAATCCCAACGTGGCTGAAACGTACTCCGGTGGAAAAACTCCCATAAAGAATGGTGAGATTAACAGAGAACACCGCACAGTACTGTGGACATTGTGAGACCCCTTCAGATGCTGTAAAAGATGGCAGCAGCAGTAAGTGGTTTTTCAGAGCTGATGACGTGCAGCATCAAGGAGTTTGAAATGAATGCTTTGAAAGGAATGCACACTTTCCACATCATTGATGCTGCCCCAATCCATTTGTCAATCTCATGCTCCACTCTCCCCATATTCCTGAAAAAGACCCCAAAATACTTGAACTACACCATCTGGGGTAGTGACTTGTCCTGGACCCGGACTGGGTACGTCAACCTTTTCTGGCTGAGAATCATGGTCTTGGCCTTGGATGTCCTTTGTGGACAAGAGATATTTTATTTTGTATTCTTATGGTGACAGTTTATAATCAGACCTATCATTGATTAATCATTTACAGAATCTTTGAATTACATCTATGTTAATCTGAGCAGTTATTAATGTATACAGATTATCATCACTTTAATTCAGTCTATTGTTGTTCTGTATTATTCTATCACACACTGGTTTTCTCTGAGTGCTGGACTGAGTGGAAACATCTGGAGCCCATATAAGGAGAACTTCTTGAGTTCTGAGAACTGACTGATACTTATCATGTGTCTTGACGTCATCATTGCAATAAAAGCCTTGTGATATGGTTGTTCGGGGGAGATCCGCTCTGAAAGGTTTATGATGCTCATCTTCCCCACATATATGTGTATAATAAAAACCACTATTTTGACATCTACTGAGGACCATGCAGTCGTTTGTCTCCTCCTCAAAAACTCGAACCATGACACCTTTCATTCCCCCGCTTCACATTGGCGAACAGTGCACTGCTTCAGTGCAAGTAGGAGCCCACCACTCGATGAAGCCAACAGAAACACTGCAAAAAGCAAAGATAAAATCCTAAGGCCACCAAAGTGGAAACCATCCACCACCGGGACACGCCTGTTCTGTACAAAAAAGCCCAACCAAACTGTACAGAATAGGCCTTTTCTGATTATTGTCTTCTCAAAGTCCACAAAACAAGTAGACTGCTTGTGCAAACTCCCATGCACTCTGGAATATCCTTGCGGGGATAAAGAGCTGATCCAGTGTTGAAAACCGCATTGTTGCTCCTGTGTCTAAGATTCGGATGGGCTCTGCTCTCTGGCAGACTTTCCTGAGGACGCTGATGAGTGCGATCCCCTTATAGTTCTAGAATACCCTCTGGTCCCCCTTCTTAAACCAGGAAACGCCAATCCAGCCTGCAAGTTAAGGGACACCGGCCCGGAGCTCCTCACAACGTTGCACAGATACGTCAACTAACACACCCTACAACATTCAGAGCCTTAAGGAACAAATATCCACCCCAGGGACTGTCCACCATCTTGTTCTGGGATTACCGCCACAAGAAGACCAAGTGACTAGTTCCATTATGTCCCAAACATCCAGAACTGGGTCGACCCAAAACAATCAACTCACTGAACTCAGTTTTCTTCTTTTTGTCTGAAGGAATGTTTAGTAAAAAAACAAAATGTATAAATGTTTTGCATAAACAGGTTGTGCTTAGAACAATTTTCGGAGACATTCCTAACCACTGGAAGATGGAGGCATCTGCGCATTTCACAAATGAACATCAAAGACAAAAAACTCCCTGAATCACAATCACGTTGATGCTGTGAAGAACATATAAACGAACCCAGATCCACATCACCTTTTGGATTCAGAGATTCATTTCTTGCATGGTATAGAGGAAATGATCAGAACTGCCAGAAGTGTACAGAGTGATGCATACATGTAAACACTGCAACCTGCATTTTTGTAGGTTTTATTAAACATAGTTCATAAAAACAACATATATATATTTACATTATTTGAGTCCTCAGACACTGAACCACAATAAATACAAATCCAAGGGAATAAAAACAAATATTAGTGCTTGTTGTATGAAGCAATGTGGAAACTTTAGTGTATCTGGAGATTGCTAAAGACCGATGGCAGCAGCACTGCAGCTCATACCTGACTTTCAGCTCGCTACTTGTGCCAGACAAAAGTCTAACGCTACAGCTACAGAACATCCTCTGCACACACAGTAGGTCGGAATGAGACAAAAAAACTAACAAAAATAATGCACTGTAACAGAGAAGACAAGCCAAATAAGATCTATGTTCGAAGATGAATTAATAGAAATAATAAGACACATAAATAAAAAACCTGCAACTTTGTCCAAGCTTCAATTTTCCCTGAAGCGCACACATATGCATTAACTGTACAAAGCATTGACTGTTGTTTGACCCTGCGGCCCAAACCAAACAATGGCGTCCCTTTTGCCGCCAGTTTAACATCCTCCCCTCCACACTGCGAGGCTGCACCACACCTGGCTCTTATTATAAATCATCCCCCAGCGTACCTCTTTAACGTGGTCGCCGTGCCATTCGGTGTCAGGTATGCAGTCAATCACAGGAAATGGCACTTTGCTGAGTTTCCTGCTATTGTTTAAAATTTTTTGCCTCTATGGAAAATCTTGGAGATCTGCTTTAAGCTCGACTCCTGTCACATCTCATTCAAGTTACCTTTTTACATCTAACTACATCTGTAGTGTTTTAATAGTAAAAGCTAGTAATTAAAATACTTCAGCAGCTTTAAGCAGGACAGAAAACAAAACAATACTTTCATGTCAGATTAAACATCGGATTAAAGTGAACATGAAACACTACATTTATAAAGGCTGATTTACACTGTGGAGCCCTACTCTAATCTGTCATCCTGAAACGTCAGATCAGCCCACCAACTGTGACTTAACAATCCAAGATGGCGGAAGTGAACAGCAGTAAAAACGTAAAATTTATAATCTGGACTGCCACTGCTGTGGATTCACAGATGAATCCTATAATCATACTCACAGCACTGAACAGGCTCTATCCACGAAGGGGCCACAGCTGTGTTCTTAAGCACCCCCCCCCGCCCGAATGGTTGCATCCTGCTAAGAATCAAAATGAACCCGGTTTCTCTGGTTTTCCCAAATTTCCTACTGGAATGCAAGATTGCTGAGGTAACTGGAAAATGGCTTTAGTATATGTGAACTACTGAGTGACAGAACTGTTTTACAACAACAGTTACAAATATAACAATTTTTCTTACCAATGCACATGGAAATCCTGACGTCCATCAGCATGTCCACAGAGGAACGCTCTCCTTCACTTATATTAGGGTGTTGATTTTCCCCACTTCTAGTATGAAGTAATGCACTGACATCATCATCTCACTCACTCCAACGAGTGCAGCAGCTTTCCCTCTGATGTTCCTGTTCTACACATCACTCTGTTCCCCCTGCAGAATCTCAGGATTCCTGATGTGTTTGAGATGGGCATGTAGTAACTTATGTTGGAAACTGGTTGGGCGTGTTTGAGGAAAGAAAGACTGTTTTACTGCATAAAACAACGCTGATCACGTCCTCTGAACATCTGCTCTGCCAGCTGATTGTGTGCCGTGTGTCTGCATCCAACCAAAGGAGGAAAAATCAAAGACAACGGGGACAGTGTCAGACTGAAGCTTCTCGTCCTTGTAAATCACTAGTCCACCTAACTCCAACAAGCTCTGCTCATTTATAAAGTGCTCTACAAACCCGAACAATACGGCTAACTGGTGGAGTCCCATATTTCAGTGCAGCTAGCCAATAATGAACGACCACTTCGTGCTGAAGAGAGAGTGAAAGGGGACAATACATCCTTGGTACTTTAACATAAAACTCACTGCAGCTGTCACTAGTTAGCAACATAAACTAATGTAAGTCTATTAGCACCAACCAACCACATAACATCACTTTCCATACTGGCACAAGATGGCACTAAAAACCTTATACACATATTATTAAATCCAGCTTCATAGCCATTTTTTAAAAGTGGGACTCGATGCTGTAAACCAGCCTTTATACATTAGCACTTCCTGTCCGCTTTAAATGTGTTCACAGTAACAATGCAGGGCACACGAAGAACAAAGCGGAGTCTTCTTCTGATGGAAATGACTTCAAAATATTACATGATTCATTCAAGTCTCTAGACAACTTAAAACAACAACAACAACCAAGTAAAACTCGTTTTACTGGTGTGTGGTTTGGAGCCTCCCCCGGTGAGCGTCCATTGTACGTCTGCACTTCTTGACATTCTTAAACATTTTCAGTTTCTGTTTGGATCTTTCAGATCATCTCAGTTTCCGCCTGACCCGTCCTTACTTGATGTTTAGCCGTTGGTCATTGGCGTCTCCTCTGACAGATTTCAAAAAGAAGACAAAGAAGAAAAAAGTTACACACAGCTGTTAAAAACCTGAAGGCCTTATAAATAAGGCCAAAGTTTTAAGTTAAATTAAACGCCGATTCAGGTGCCCCGCAACTCTCAGCTCTGTATCATGTGACTAAACCATACATTTGTGAGAGGAGGACGAAAAGATGAAAGATGGCTCACATGGAGCAGAAAAGGAAGTGAGAAAGGAAATGAACTGAGGGACAGTATATGATGAATAAGTATTTTTAAAGCTGTGAGTCAGTCGAAGCAGCTTCCACAGAGTCCAAGATCAAACCACAGAGCTGGAGATATGCTAAACACGTCCTTTATAAACTCTAAACCCAGAGCGATTTACTGCTGTTTAAGTAGTTTGAGACAGTTTTACCTTCAGTTTGTTCATCGTTTCGTTGTTGAGCAGTGGTGCCGTTAGCTGCAGGAGCTCCTGTTATTTTAATGACAGAAATATACACATCAGCTTTTTAATCCCACACAAAGCCCCACTGTGAACAGAAAAAATACAATTTTGGGCTGAAACTTACTCTGATGTTCATCACTCCTCCAGAAATCTGAAGTGGATGAAAACCCCCAAAAACAAAACATGAAGAACAATGACATTAACAAGAAACAGCACACAGAAGAACCACGGGTGTTTCTGAGTTCTACTTTCTAATAGACACTGATTAAAAAAAATAAATAATTGATTTGTTACTGACCTCCTTCCCACGGCATGGACTCTGCAGAGAGAATTACAGCAAAGGACAGTTAAAGACACCAGTTTGTTTTATTGTTCGTAGTCATCACTGAGCTGCCAACACTTTGATATTTATATCATAAAAAAGGACAATATTTTCTTTACGATGCTGTTATTATGCTGCATTTCACTGCCTGATCAGAGAATCTGATTTTAAAGAAGGAAGATGCTCCTGGGGAACCCCCGACGCCCTAAGCCTGTCCCTACCCCCACACCAATCACAACAGTGAAGGCGGGACCAAACTATGACCCCCCACCCCCACTAGGTGATGGAGCTGATCAAAGGAGCCCAGAGCAATTGATCTGATGTGGTGGCAGAGGCTGTATCAAGACTAATGTAATCTAATAGATAATTTCTATATTGGTTAGAATTAAGATTATTTTTATTTTTCCAGTTCATGAGGACTGTTTTCTTGGCTATGCATAGGGCAGTGAAAACCATATGGGCGATATTCTTTTCTGAAGTGACATTATCTAAGCTGCCCAACAAACACACTAAGGGGGAAGTTGGAATGTTACATTTCAGACACTTCGATAAGTCTTCACATATCTCGCGCCAAAACTTCTGAACTGGTGGACAGAACCAAAGAGCGTGGATATAATTGTCCGGTGAATTGGTTTGGCAGTGTGAGCAGTTGTTGGTGGACGTAAAGCCCATCTTGAACATCCGATGACCTGTATAGTGCACTCTATGTAATATTTTGTATTGAATTAATTGAAGACTGGGATTTCTAATTAGATGAAAGGTTTTTAAGCAAATCTGAGACCAGAAGTTTAGGTCTAAGTTAACTGATAAATCCGCTTCCCATTTTGCAATAGGAAGTGATATTGATTCATCTGTTTTAGAAAGCATTCTGTATATTTTGGATAGTAATTTGGGGGGTTTAAGAGTAAGAAATTGAACCACACTTGGTGGTGTTTGTAGTTCAACTTGACCCGGTTTAAATTTCTTTTTTACTATGGATTTAATTTGTTGATATTCTAAAAATCTTTTCTTGTTGATCCCATATTGTGTAACTAGTCCGTCAAATGGAATAAATTCTGTTCCTTCTAGTATATGTTCTAAATATTTGATTCATTTACAACTCCGACTCAGACAAGGTAAGTGACTCATGTTGTAACTGACGTCAGACGCCGGAGATTTTGGCAGAAACTTTAAGCGAATGGTAGCTTAGAATTGAACAAATTCCTTTAAGCTTCAGTATTACCAAATACACTTATCAGTTGTCTTTTAACTAACAACATTTGTCTAAATCATCTCCAACACCCTGGAGAACAACAGGGAGAGTTTAGAGGCTCTCCAAGATTACATCGATCAGTGCTTCCAGGATCTCGTGATGACGAAGGCCCAGAGTGCAGCTTCCCCGGCCAAGTCTGAGACGCCGTCATTGAAAAGATGTCGCCCGGCAGATTCCCCCGGCTCAACATCGCCATCCAGCAAAGATATTGTCGACATCCTAGAGTCAATCGACAAGGCTGCAAGGCTGTCCTTGGTGGAGATTCTTCACCGGGAATTTAAATGCTTGCGAGAATCCCTGGAGTTCAGCCAGCAGCAGGTGGAAACGCTTGCTGCTGAAAATGCCACGCTAAGGGAGTCGGTGAAATGTCTCACAGAT